GGGGGCGGGTGAGGGGGCGGTCTTTGGTATTTGCCGGCCATGCAGCGCTGCCACTCGTCTCATGCTGCCGTGGAGGCCGCGAGAGGGGCAGACCCCCTTCTGCGCGGCGCGGGCGGCGGCGCGGACGGCGGCGCGGGCGGCGGCGGCGCGGGCGGGGGGCGGAGGAGCGGCGGAGGAGCGGCGGAGGGGCGGCGGAGGGCGGCGGAGGGCGGCTCCGTTCGGGCCACCGCATGCGTCTCTCGGCCGCCGTTCTGCTCGCCCTCTCCGCCCCCGTCCGCGTCGCGGGTGCGTGTGGCCGGGGGATTAGACGCCCCACCCGCCCCGCAGCGCCACCATCCAGCGCCGCACGCCGCACCGCGCACGCGCGTGCCGCCACGGCGCGGAGCTCCGTAGTACGTCTTGTTCCGAGGGGGGGGGGGGGCATGGAGCCGCAAGCAGCAGGGTATATTCGCGCCACCCGCTGTGACCACGCACATCCCGCCGTAGATATGTCTAATGTCCAGGTGTGTGGGTCTCGCTATCTCGGCAGCTCGGGTCTCCGCTCTCTGCGGTCCCGGCGCTCGCATGTGTACCATGGGCATTGAAGGAAATGAAACGCGAGACGATAACGCAGTGATTGGGTGCAGCTACAGCCTACACGTAAGACAGTACTCAGTGCAGTGTCAGTTTTGCAGCTAAAGACAGTACGCAAGTGCAGCGTGTCAGTTTTATGCAGCTCTCTCCGATTGCCGCCCCTCCGTTCTCCGCCAGCCCCCTCCGCTGCTCCCGCTCGTCCGCCGGCCGCCGCCGGACACCTCCACTGCCCTCCCACGAGCGGCCGGCCACCCTGCCTTGCACCCGACCCTCAGGCGCCCGTCCGAGGCGTGTACCCGAGCATCGCGTCCAGCCGCTCCCCGGGCGTGCGGCCGTCGACCGGCCGCGGCTTGGGCGGCGGGCGCGCGCCGCCGCCGCCCGACGCGCGCCCCCCCGCCGCCGCGTTGCCCGACAGCCGGTCGATGAAGTACGAGAACGCGCAAAACGTAAAGACGGACGACGGCAGGTCGGCGAGCGACGCGGCGGCGGCGGCGCCCCCGCAGGCGGCGCCCAGCATGGCGCAGGTCGAGTCGTCGGCGCCGCGGGCGAGCTGCCCGAGCGCGCGCCCGCCCGCGAACCCCGCGCTCACGCGGCCCCACCTCTGCCCGTTGGCGAGCGCCGCCTGGAAGACAAAGCGAGGCACCGCCGTGCGGGCGGCGCCCGAGACGCCCGAACGCGCCATAGACTCCTGCAGAGCGGTGAAGACGAAGCCGAAGCCGCCGACGGTGGCGAACGAGCCCACCTGAGCGACCGCACGTGCGTGAGATGGCGAGCCGAGCGGGCAAGTGTGGCTTATTGCGGCAGGTGGCTCATGAGTGAGAGCGGAGGAGTGCGGAGGCCGCCGTTGTCTTGGCGACGTCGACTGGGCTCTTCGCGAGCGGCGGCGGAGGAGGAGGCGCAGCCGCAATTACGCGCGCGCCCACAGGAGCGGCAAGTTGCAGGCAGAGCAGCAGCGCGAGCGAACGCGCCATCTGCGGCGGCGACGGTATTTTGTGGCGCGAGCCTCACAAAGGGAGTCTCACACAGGGAGACTTTCTCCTTCTCACTCTCGAGGTTCTCGAGGTGGATATCCTTTGGCCGCGTTGGGTAGCGAGGATTGGTGTAACCCGAGCCACGGAGGCGTGTTTTCTGACGGCCGACCGTCAGTGCACGGAGTTGCCCCTTCTCCGACTGCCCCGGCTAGTTCCCGAGTTTCGCGGGAGTGACCCCATGCGTCAAACCCGAGACCTAGCGCGGGTGGGTTGGAGGGGCCTCGGAAAGGCGCGCAAGCACGCCCTACGTCTTCCCCTCCTCCCCATCGGGCCGCATGAGCGGCCACGCCTCGCAGATTCGTTTTCGCGCCTGGGTCAGGCGCGCGGGGCATCCCCCGGGTCGCTCGACCAGCGATCCGAAGAGTGGCCGCTATGTGAAGGAAAGAGTGGGGCCCTCGACGCCTCAGTCCGGCTTCTCACTACTCTTTTTGCAATACGGAGACGCGACAGAGGAGGAAGTGACAAGGGAGAGAACGACGAGAGTGGGACGGCCGCGAGGTGGCATGAAGGTTGCAGCGAGAATCGGCGAGAGACTGCGAAAAGAGATAGGAAGAGGCAGACCCCCTAGGGTGGGCGACGGCTAGCGCACCACACTCCTCTCCTTAAAATCCCTGTGTGGTGGCGGCGTGCCGTCCTCCCATCCCTCCCTTGGGTTGTGTGTTTTCTTTCTTTCTTCGGAGACCGGGCTGCTCGGTCAAAATTTCATCAGCCTCACATCCAGGGCCGGGGAGCTGAGAAGCGCACCCAGCGGGCCGGATGATCGGGATCGGGTTGCGGGCAAGAGAGCCCTAGCCCTGGGGGGTGCGCGGTCGCAGGGCCATAACACGGGTCTCCGAGGGTTAGTACCGCGCTCCGGGTTTCCCCTAGCAGCAGAACGCACCCTCTACTCGGAGCTAGTGGACACGACACTGCTACTGCCACCAAGATTTTTTTTGTCGTTTCATTGGCTCTGTTTGGGGCTCGCACCGTCGGCTGCTATGGCCTTCGCCACGCTGTCGTGCCTCCTGCTGGCGCTCTGCGTGCCTGCCGCCGCTCGGTCTCCGCGCCGTCCGGCCGCCGCTCGCAGCCGCCGCGCCTCGCTGCTCGCCATGCAGACCGCCGGCGCCGGCGGCGAGGCGGACAGCGTCGCGGCGCGGCTCGAGACGGACGGCGTGCTCTCCGGGCTCACGGCGGAGGAGGCGCGGCTCGTGTGCTGGCTTGCGTCGGAGGAGATGGGCCAGGCCCACCTCTTCGCCGGCTGGTCCGCCGCCGCGCCCGACGACAAGCGCCGGCTGCTGCGGCAGGTTGCAGAGATGGACGCTCGCTATCCCGAGGACGCCGCGGGCGCGCGCGGGCTGGCTGCGTACGTGTCGCACGCGCGCACGCTGCTCGCCGAGTCGGCGGCCGACCTCAACCCCTTCGACGGCTACACCGTCTCCGTGCCGCGCGACGGCGAGCGCATGGAGGTCGGGACCGCCTCCTTCCGCGCCGACGAGGCGCGCCTAGCCGCCTCTTCCCGCCTAGCCGCCTCTTCCCGCCTAGCCGCCTCTTCCCGCCTAGCCGCCTCTTCCCGCCTAGCCGCCTCTTCCCGCCTAGCCGCCTCTTCCCGCCTAGCCGCCTCTTCCCGCCTAGCCGCCTCTTCCCGCCTAGCCGCCTCTTCCCGCCTAGCCGCCTCTTCCCGCCTAGCCGCCTCTTCCCGCCTAGCCGCCTCTTCCCGCCTAGCCGCCTCTTCCCGCCTAGCCGCCTCTTCCCGCCTAGCCGCCTCTTCCCGCCTAGCCGCCTCTTCCCGCCTAGCCGCCTCTTCCCGCCTAGCCGCCTCTTCCCGCCTAGCCGCCTCTTCCCGCCTAGCCGCCTCTTCCCGCGGCCGCTCCCTCGTGCACACATGCCCCACTAGCGCACCCCCGCCGCTCCGGCCGCTGCCTTCGCTCCCGCCTAGCCGCCCTAGCGCGCGTGCGGAGCCGCGCCAGCGCAGAGGGCTCGCCGTTGCGCTGGCGGCAGGGCGCTTCAACACTGAAGCCGCTTTTCTTTTTTAAGGCGCGCGGCGGCGCGATGCTCAAGGACACGGTCTTCGTGCTCGTTGCGGGCGGGCTGGGAGAGCGGCTCGGCTTCGACGGCATCAAGGTTGCGCTTCCGGCGGAGACCCTCTCCGGCGCCACCTTTCTGGAGATCTACTGCACCGCGCTGCGGGCGATCGAGGAGCGGGAGGGAGGAGGAGGCGTGAACAGCGTCTCTTCACGCCCACTGCTGTGATCAGGCGATCGAGGAGCGGGAGGGAGGCCGTAAGGCGCCGCTGGCCGTCGTGACGTCGGACGAGACACGCACGCGCGCGCGCGCGTTGACTGCTGAGTGATCATGACTGCACCAGGCGCCGCTGGTGATCATGACGTCGGAGGACACGCACGCGCTGACCGAGGAGAGCCGGAGCGCTCCTAGGCCGTCCGCCGGACGGCCGCGCGGGATCCGCAGCCGTGAGGCCGTAGGCGCTGCTGCTGGAGCACGGCTACTACGGGTTGCAGCCTTCGCAGGTGCACTTGCTTCGGCAGGCCAACGTGCCGGCGCTCGGCAGCAACGCCGCCGCGTTTGTGGCGTCGGAGGAGGACCCGTTCACGCTGCTCACCAAGCCGCACGGCCACGGAGACGTGCACACGCTGCTGCACGGCTCCGGCCTGCTGCCCGCCTTCGCCGCGGAGGGCCGGTCCCACGTCGTCTTCTTCCAGGACACAAACGTGCTCGCGTTCAAGGCCATCCCCGCGGCTCTCGGCGTCTCCGAGCGGCTCGGGCTGGCGATGAACTCGCTCGCGGTGCCGAGGGCGGCGGGCGAGGCGGCGGGCGCGATCTGCCGGCTGCAGCCGCCGGCGGGGGACGGGTGCGAGATCGCGCGAGATCGGCCGAGAGGGCACGAGATCGGACGAGATCGGGCGAGATCGGACGAGATGACATGAGATGGCACGAGATCGCCCCGAGATCGAACGAGATCGCACGAGATCGGCCCGAGATCGGCCCGAGATCGGCCCGAGATCGGCCCGAGATCGGCCCGAGATCGGCCCGAGATCGGCACGAGATCGGCCCGAGATCTGCCCGAGATCTGCCCGAGATCTGCCCGAGATCTGCCCGAGATTTGCGCGAGATCGGCCCGAGATCGGCCCGAGATTTGCGCGAGACATACCCGCAGGCTCGTGATGAACGTCGAGTACAACCAGCTGGACGCGCTGCTCCGCTCCACCGGTGGCGCGGGCGACGAGGCGGACGGGAGCGGCTACTCGCCCTACCCCGGCAACGTAAACACGCTGGTCGTGGCCCTGGGGCCGTACGCGGACGCACTGGCGGCGAGCGGAGGAGCGATGCCCGAGTTTGTCAACCCAAAGTACGCGGACGCGAGCCGCAGCGTCTTCAAGAAGCCGACGCGGCTCGAGTGCATGATGCAGGAGCTGCTGCATCTCCCCATATCTCCCCATATCTCCCCATATCTCCCCATATCTCGAGTGCATGATGCAGGAGCTGCCGAAGCTGCTGCCGGCGCACGCAACGGTCGGCTTCACCCAGTTCGAGCGCTGGTTCTCCTTTTCGCCGGTCAAGAATGCGATCGGCGACGCGGTCGCGCAGGCGGCAAAGGGCAACTACGCCGCCTCGCCTGGCGCGGGCGAGGCGGCGGTCTACGAGGCGAACGCGGCGCTGCTGCGGCTGGCGGGCGCAACGGTGGAGGCGGGGGCACCCTCGTCCTTCCTCGGCCTGCGCCTCGGCGTGAGCCCGCCCATGAAAAGGCGGACATCCTAGGCGGTCGCGTCTTTCTTTGTCTAGGCCTGACCCTCGGCCTGAGCCCGCCCATCTCGCTGAGTCCGCGCTTCGCCCTCACCACGGACGAGCTGATGCGGCGCGTCAGCGGCGGCGCCGCCGTCCGCATCTCCGCCGCGTCGGCGCTCGAGCTCGACGGCGTCATCTAGCTCGAGATCTAGCTCGAGATCTAGCTCGAGATCTGCTCGAGATCGCTCGAGATCGGCTCGAGATCTCGCCCGAGATTTGCTCGAGATCGAGTCGGAGGGGGGGCCACACGCCCCCACCCCACACCTAGGCGACATCGAGCTCTCCTCTCTCGACCTCGACGGCGCGCTCTCCATCCGCGCCTCGCCGGGCGTGTCGGTGGTGGTGCGCGGGGCGACGGTGCGAACCTCTTAGACGCGGAGCCCGTGTTCTGGCACTGCAACCGTCGCTCGAGAGGACACGCACTCCGCTGTACTCGGCCCGTGTACCGCTGGGTGACCCGTATACCGTATACCGTTGGGCTCGCCGCGTTCGGTGGCCCGTGTGCTCACGTTGTGCTGCGCGTACGCGGCGCGAGACCGCCCTCCCGCCCCTGACCGCGGCGTGGCCATGACGCAGGTGCGGAACGCCGGCTGGTGCTGGGAGTCCGTCGAGCCAGGCGCGGCCGGCATGCCCGCGGGGGTGTCGATCCGCGGCTACGCGCTCCGGAAGGAGGGCGGGGTGCAGATCGAACTGCAGGAGCCGGGCAGGTACGAGGTGAGCGGCGGCGGGGTGGTGACGAGGTTGTGAGCGGGCCCGGCCCTGGCGAAGGAAGCAAAGGCCCCGCCGGCTTCCCCCAGCCGTCGCTTCCACGAGCCCCCACAGCTCTCTTTGTCAGTCAACTGCATCTCTGCAGAGAGCGGCGCCCTGCCTGCCCCGCTCTTGCGCCCGCCTTTTTTGAAGACAAGCCATGTCACACTGCCTCTCCGGTCCGGCTCGCACGGTGTCCGGTGCAGCCTACGGTAGTGCCGCCGCCCTCGCGCGCTCGTGACCGACTGCCCGCCCCTGTCTTAACCCCTAAACGGCTGTGGTTCCCATATATGGGAACTTCGCCAATTCTGTGAAAGAGAAAGCTGATACCTGTGGTCGCAGCGACGGCCGATCCTGCGACGGTGTATCATTCACTTTATGCCACCGTTGCATATCCGCAGTTCGACTCGGCGCAAAAAACCCAGACGGGCGTTGTCACTGGTTCGAAACCCACCTTAGCGTTCACCTGCTATCCAGCAGTCGTCTGCGACATGGCAGTGGCCCCGGGTCATGTGCAGCTGGTCCCGAGCGGCTCAGGTCCCAGATCGAACCTCGGACCCCACAGATTCTAGATGGTGGGCTAGGCCGTTTGCGAAGCCTTGGATTGCCGACCACTGCTTGAATTCGAGGCTCTCCTCGAGTCCGGCCCCGACGCAGAGAGGCGTCGATGCGCCGTCTAGCCAGAAACATTCCTGATTTATGGGCTCTTTGAGAATCGGTCGTGTCATCAGGACTGGAGACTGGGGGACCGCAGCAGACACGCAACCACCTGAGGCCTACTTTGCGTCGTAGACCGACTTCTCCACGTCCATGCCGTCCTCGTACAGCCAATCCTCGAGCGTGGTCAATAGCGCCATGAGAGGCGACTTCTCGTCCTCCGTCGAGAAGACGGAGAGCGAGGTGCTGAGCTTGTCCCTCATCGAGTAGATCGTCCCCTCGAGCTGGTTCATCGCGTCCGCCTTCTCCTTGATGCGCTTGTCCTCGATCGCCATCTTCCACCTCCTCCTGCGCCTCCATCAACTCCTGCGCGCTCATGCCCACCGACTTTGCCTTGCTCACCGTCACCGGGATCCGCTTCACCTTCTTCGACCGCTTCTTCTACTCGGCCGGCGCCGGCTCCGGCGCCGGCGCCGCCTCCGCCTCCGCGGCCTCCGCCCCCTCCGTCCGCGGGCGCCTCCCCGCCCGCGGGCACCTCCGGCGCGGGCCAGGCGCGGGCGCGGGCTCGGCGGGCGGCGCCTCCTCGATCACCACCTCTGCTGCCTCCCTGCGGATGCTGCCGGGGAGCCTGGCGGTCTGCTGCACTGCAAGGAAGCGCTGACTCGGTTTCTCCCCGCAAAATCCTACCCAAGACCCGGAACGCGACTGTGACATACAGAACCAGCGGGATCACCCGAGAGCGGTCTTGTTCGGGTCAACTAGCTCAGTAAGAAACGGTAAAGTAACAACGCTATAGGAGAGCACAAAAAAGAGCACAAAAAGAATTTTCAAGCCCAGCACAAAAAGAAATCGCGCGCGCTTCGCTGCTCTCTCGCTGGCCGCCTTCTTTCCCAAGGCGAGCATGTCGCCGCTCGCAGGCCGGGAGCTGCAGGAAGACAGAGAGATCCCAATCCAGGTCTGGGTCTGCCTGATTCTTATCGTCTTCGTGCTCGTTGCAATGGTCGCCATTGTTGTGATGGCGTGCTGCGTCTACCGAGCCTGCTCCCGACGCATACGGCTTTGCGAGATCGCGTGCGACGCCAAGCAGTATCCCCATCAGTATCCTGATTCCCAGAAGTATCCCTATCCCAAACCCCAGCAGTATTATCAGCAAAGCAGCTACGCCACCGGTCGAGACTACTCGACCCAGCAGTATCCCGGCGAATACCCGACCCAAGAGTACCCCAACGACTCCGGCCCCGCTGGCGACGACTTCTTTGACTCTACAAAGATGCGGGCGCTCAAGGAGGAGGCGCGGCTCGAATGGTTCAGCTGGGCGGTGGAGGCTGGGGCTAATAGAGGGGAAGACAGATCTCTGTATTCCGACGAGCACTCGGGAGACGACGTATTCTGCTGCTCTGAATACGCGGCACTCCACGAGACCGTAGTCACTGATGTTGGCGTATTCACCCCGTCCCGGGTCTGTGTGCCTGCCCCCTCTTGTTTGCGGCTGGCGACCGCGCCCGATATCGATTTTCAACACACCGTAGGCTGGGAATGTCGACCTGGCTCGCAGGCTCTACGTGAGCGAGGACGAGCTGCGCCGCGTCGAGGCGATCGAGGCTGCAGCCGCCGGGCCCGAGGCCGGGCAGGAGGAGTCGCGTCTGCCGGCACCCGACCATTCCGAGCCGGGGCCTCGTTCCGTCGCGTCAGACACGGACGTCTCGCCGATGCCGCCGGCGTCCGGCGCCCTCGAGCGGGCACTCGCCCACAACTCGCAGGTCGCTTGGCTCACCACGCAGGAGGAGTCGCAGGCGGCGCATTCGGCGCCGCCGCCGGGGCCCTCGACACAGGCACTGTCTTCGGCCCTCGAGGAGTTCTCCTCGAATCTGCGCGGCGAGCACAAGGATGCCGGGGCGCCCGTGTCCCGCGTGTGACGGGATCACTCATGACTCAAACGCAAAAGGGCATGCGGGCATGGGGCATGGGGGTCTCCTTCGAGCAGTGACACCAGCCGTGTGACCCGTGACGACGCGCGTGCGAGAGGCAGACTTGTTTGCGAGAGGTGTGCCATGGTTGCGAAACACAATGAAAGCGATCCGAGGGGTGAGATTTTATATCGCGCCTGAGGCCTGTGTAAGGTAAGGTAAGGTAAGGTAAACTTCTCCACACACACGAGGTGGTGGGGCAAGGGGGGGCAACCCTCGCGTCTCCACGTCTAACGACAGGAGCCCCACGGCATTTAAAGTGCAAGGCCCGGTGCGCGTGGGTGAGCGGTGTGTGTGTGTGTGTGTGTGTGTGTGTGTGTGTGTGTGTGTGTGTGTGTGTGTGTGTGTGTGTGTGTGTGTGTGTGTGTGTGTGTGTGTGTGTCACGTCACTGCATCCTCTGCCGGTTCCTCCCGTCGCCTCTTCTTTGTTCGAATGTTTTTCAATCCATCCTTCACGAAGCCCTCCCATGTAGCTAGCGTTCTTTGCGAATGTCTCGAGATGGCCAGCAGGCGCTGTCTGCTCGCGGCCTGTGCGGGCCGCTCGTCCTCCTCGCCCTTCTTTTGTCCTCCCGTCCCTCCCCTCCACCATGGCCTCCTCGGCACTTCTTTCTCCATCCGCCTCGCCCTGCCTTTCCCAGTTTATATCCTCATCCTCTGTGCGCTTTTTCGTTCCCTCCCCTTCTCCATCGTTGTCGCCTCCGTCGACTGCGGCGCTGTCTCTGCCCTCGCCTCCGTCCTCCTCGTCTCGCCTGCCGTCGTCCCGTGTCTCCTCGTCCTCGCCATCGTCTTGGCCGTTGTCTACCTGTTCATCGTGTCCCTTGCTGCTGGTGGCATCGCCGTTGGCTTCCTCTCTCCCCCTTTCCTCCCTGCCCCTCTCGCTGTCTGGTGCTAATGGACCCCCTTCCTCGCTCTCGCGCTCTTCATAACGGCTTTGCCCCCTCCCTCCCGCGCCGTTGGGCAGCCTGACCACGACAACGCCAGTGCCGCTGGCCTGCAACTCGAGGCGCCTCTTTGAATGAGCACGAGCCGGTGCGCGGCGGCGGCGCGGGTGATGCAGCCCAAGGTGACGGCGACGGCGGAGGGGGCGGCGGCGGCGGCGGAGGAGGCGGCAGCGGCGGCGATGGCCGCGGGGTCGGCCCGCCCGCCTTTGCTGCTGGTGCTGTGGGCATCATCACAGCTCAGCGGCGGTGTGCGACCAGGGCCAGTGGTAGACTTTCGACGCGGTGAGGCTGCTCTCTGAGCGATGACACTAGCAGGAGCATCATGTGTGTCATCGGAGTCACTTGTATTACGATACCACCACGCCGCCACGCTCGCAAGGGCCGCCTAAGCGCCTAAGCACCCTAAGCACCCCCTGCTTAGGCCGCTTAGGCGCTTAGGCGAGTGACGGCCGGCTGCCAGGGGCCTGGCGTGCCTCCGCCGTGGGCTGAGCACCCGGGAGAGCCACTCTGCAAGTGGTGTGCGAGCGTGTAGCCTTGAGCGTGCAGTCGGCCGGCGAAGGGGAACGGAGTAGCGTCACGGCTCCCCCGTTCCGAGCCCAGCCGCCCTCGCGGCGTCGGCCTCGCTCGTCGCCAGCTGGCCGGCGAGCGTGCCATCGCCGCTCGCGAGCGCCCACTCGAACCACTGCTGGCGGCTCTCGCTCACGGGCAGCGGTGCGAGCGCCGCTGCAGACCCCGCCGCCGGGGGCGGGGGGCGGGGCGGCGGCATGCGCGCCTCACAGGCGCGGCACTGCGCACGGTAGGCGAGGGCGAGGCCGGTGGCGAAGGCTGCGGCCAGCATGGCCACTAGAGCGGGGATGACGATGAAGGCGATGGCGGTGCGGCAGAAGACGCAGTCGTCGGCGTCGTTCGGTGGAGGAGAGGGAGCCATTTGAATAATTGTGAGAATTGGCGGTTTTGCCTTTTCACAGCCGCCGTCCAGTAACCTGGCGTTCCATACTGACGGTGGCGACGACGGGGTCGGGGCGCTCGGCGGGCCTGACTCGGGCGCCGGCAAGCCAGGCGGCGGAACGGACGGCGAGGGCGGTGTTGAGGGCGGGGGCGGAGGCGGAGGATAAGGTGGCGGCGAAGGCGGCGGTGGAGAAAAGGGAACCTCCTCGCACTCCAACTTGCTGCCGAGATACTCACTCATGGTGGTGCAAAAGCAGTCCTGTGTAGTGGCGTTGGCAATGTCGCTGGCTGCATTTCCGCCCCCAGCTCTCTTGTCCTTCGTGAGCACGATGTTCACTTGACCATCTTCTTTGTCTACCACATCTACCTTGACGCGGCCGTCCAAGTCGGCCTGCTTGTTGAGGCCGCCCTCGCATCGGAGGGCGTTGAGAATGGCTCTCTGGAGTTCATCCACCTCGAAAGTGGCATTTCGAAACCGAAGAGTCGTCACGATCTCTGGGGAGCTGCCCGGCGAGCTCGGAGGGCAGGGCGCCGACGGAGGTGGCGCCAAGGGCGGTGGCAACAGCGGCGGCGGCGAGGGCGGCGGTGAGGGCGGGGGAGGCGACGGGGGTGGGCTCGGTGGTGGCGGCGACGGCGGTGGCGGTGAGGGCGGTGGCGGTGACGGTGGCGGAGGCGAGGGTGGCGGCGGCGAGGGCGGTGGCGGCGACGGCGGTGGAGGGGAGGGCGGCGGCGGCGATGGTTGCGGCGGGGAGGGCGGTGGCGGCGACGGTGGCGGCGGCGAGGGTGGCGGCGGCGAGGGCGGTGGCGGGCTGGGCGGCGGAGGGGAGGGCGGCGGCGGCGATGGTGGCGGCGGGGAGGGCGGCGGCGGCGACGGTGGCGGCGGGAAGGGCGGCGGCGGCGAGGGCGGAGGTGGGCTCGGCGGAGGCGGCGAGGGCGGAGGCGGCGAGGGTGCGCGAT